ACCAGCTGGATCGGACAAAAAACATTTTTGTTTATAAAGTTATCTTGACTAAACTTGGTATTTATTAGTTTTACTACGCTCCCCATATATATGCAAAATCCTTTTAAGATCGGACAACTATATCATATAGCTGCCATAGGAACGATCGGTCGAAAATTAAGTTTTTGTATAGAAAATTATTATGTTTTTCAAGATATCTTGACCAAACTCGGTATTTATCAGTTTTACTACGCTCCCCATATATATGCAAAATCCTATTAAGATCGGGCAACTATATCATATAGCTGCCATAGGAACGATCGGTCGAAAATTAAGTTTTTGTATGGAAAAATTTTATGTTTTTCAAGATATCTTGAACAAACTCGGTATTTATTAGTTTTACTACGCTCCCCATATATATGCAAAATTCAATTAAGATCGGGCAACTATATCATATAGCTGTAATAGGAACGATCGGTCGAAAATTAAGTTTTTGTATGGAAAATTTTTATGTTTTTCAAGATATCTTGACCAAACTCGGTATTTATTTATTAGTTTTACTACGCTCCCCATATATATGCTAAATCCTATTAAGATCGGGAAACTATATCATATAGCTGCCATAGGAACGATCGGTCGAAAATTAAGTTTTTGTATGGAGAAATTTTATGTTTTTCAAGATATCTTGAACAAACTCGGTATTTATTAGTTTTACTACGCTCCCCATATATATGCAAAATCCTATTAAGATCGGGCAACTATATCATATAGCTGCCATAGGAAAGATCGGTCGAAAATTAAGTTTTTGTATGGAAAATTTTTATGTGTTTCAAGATATCTTGACTAAACTCGGTATTTATTAGTTTTACTACGCTCCCCATATATATGCAAAATCCTATTAAGATCGGACAACTATATCATATAGCTGCCATAGGAACGATCGGTCGAAAATTATGCTGTTGTATGGAATTTTTTTTGTTTTTCAAGATATCTTGACCAAACTCGGCATTTATTAGTTTTACTATGCTCCCTCCACTTATGCAAAATCTTATTCACATCGGGCTACTATATCATATAGCTGCCATAGGAACGATCGGTCGAAAATTAAGTTGTTGTATGGAAACCTGTTTTGTTTTTCAAGATATCTTAACCATACTCGGCATTAACTATTTTCCCTGTGCTTCTTAGATACGGGCAAAGCACTATGAGCATTTTGAAAAGGTTGGGTCTGCAAGGGTATTAAATCTTCGGTGTGCCGAAGATAGCACTTCTTTCTCGTTTATGATTGTAGTGATTTATACGGCACTCTTCGACACAAAAATTGCTGCTTTCATCAGTCTATCTCAACCGGCCCTGTAATCGACTCAATGCGCTCTCCAGACTATTCTGTTTGTAATCTCGCATAAGTAGTCGCCATATCAACAAACACTTCACATACACATACACACACACACACACACACACACACACACACACACACACACACACACACACACACACACACACACACACACACACACACACACACACACACACACACACACGCACACGCACACGCACACACACACACACACTAGAGTGCAAAAACAATCCCGTTCTTTGCTACTGAGGGGAATATTAAGAATTAGCTTTCAGTCTACTTTGTCGTCTCTCTGAGGCCACAACGCGTTTCGACAGATTGCGAAAAAATAGAAGGCTAAAAATAAATTAACAGATATGTCTGGAAAATTACCAGCGACCTTTGTCAAAGGCTTCCACAATGAGGAGCAAGTGAAGCGCATGGAGTACCGCAAATTCGGTAAAACTGGTCTGGAAATCTCCAAAATCGCGTTCGGGGGAGGGGCGCTTTGTGCCAACTATGGGTGGGTTTTGAATGAAAAACTAAGATAGAAACAGAGTGGCGATATGTATGTGCAAATTTGTTTGTTAACGCAGCTTCGACCTGGAGGAGGGCATTAAAACAGTGCACGACGCTTTGAAAGCTGGCATCAACTACATAGACACAGCGCCCTGGTATGGCCAGGGACGCTCGGAGGAAGTGCTCGGCAAAGCACTAAGGGACGTGCCAAGGGAGGCCTACTACATAGCCACCAAGGTGGCACGCTATGAACTGGACTACGAACACATGTTCGACTTTAGCGCGCAAAAGACCCGTGAGAGCGTGGAGAAGAGTCTGCAGCTGCTGGGCCTGGACTACGTGGATGTGATACAAATACATGACATCGAATTCGCCGAAAATTTGGACATTGTGCTCAACGAGACTCTGCCCACTCTGGAGCAGTTGGTAAAAGAGGGCAAGGCCAAGTTTATTGGACTATCCGCATATCCAATATCAGTGTTAAAGGAGTGCATTGCTCGTGCCGAGGGCAGATTCGATGTGAGTAGCATTTCCCGCATGAGATTTTTATGCCTCAACCAATAGCTGTATTATCCCTCAGACGGTGCTGACATATGCACGTTATACGCTTGCTGACAATACGCTGCTGGAGTATTTGGACTTTTTCAAGTCCCAGAATCTGGGCATTATTTGTGCAGCCGCACATTCGCTGGGTTTGCTGACCAATGCCGGGCCTCAGCCCTGGCATCCAGCCAGCGATGAGCAGAAGAAAATAGCGCGCAAAGCCGCCGAGCTATGCAAGAAGGAAGGGGTGGAACTGGGAAAGCTGGCCATGTACTACACCATTCAACTACGCGATGTCTCCACATTTCTGGTTGGCAACCAAACGCGCCAGTTGCTCCAAATGAATTTGGCTGCCTTTTACGACGGCCTCAGTGCGAAAGAGCAGGAAGTGCTGCAGCATCTCAGAGAAAAGTGAGTGGTGGTCAAGTTGCAGTCGCACTTGCACTCGGAAGTTATACGAAATTGTGCAACTCGGATACAATGTTACTATTGCATCACATCCGACTCCGTCGGCAGTCGCAGTCAACAACAGTCCGCAGTCCAGACACAGAGACAGAAATACCAACGATTCAAAGTTCCAGTCCGTGCTTAAGTCGGGTCCATTTGGTTGGAAATTTATGTGCCCACTCATTGTCAATCTTGGCTATCGGTGCAGTAGGCAGCCAGCGACTATCTCAAGTATCTCAATCGCCTCGTGCATTGCATGTTGTTGTTGAACTTGTTATAGTTTCGTGCCGCAGTCGAATATGAGTAGTAATTTGCAATTTATGATTATTTTACTTTTTCGCTCTTATTCGCAACATTTTTTTTTCTTTTTTGCCAATTCAATGATCTCTAATTTTTACATATTTTTTAAACTATTTTAGCATCTTGGTAAAACCTTTCCACTGGGAGGGCAACGAACTGGAACGATACTGGGCTGCACTTAAAAAGAAATAGATCACATTGGGATGTTTATAATTAGTGCTTTTGTGTATACACTAAATTATTTTTGATGAACCAACCGATGTCAAATATCGAACAGCTTAAACAAAAAACTACTGTCTACATTTTATATTATTCATGATGATGTAAATAAAACCTTTACTCATGTATTTAAAAGTGGTTTTATAATTGAAAATTCGAATTTTAGCATTTTATATTTCCTGAAGTCCTTTCTTAAGTTGTATTTTACATTAGTATATGAAATATTTCAGTCCAGTGGTGTCAGGCTTGACGCTGAAAAATAAACCTTCATTCATTCAACCTTTGACATGCATTTTGTATCCCAGAGGCGTGGATTTGACGAAATCTATAAGGCGCGTCTCAACTGAATTTTAATAAAGATCCTTGGAAATGCGTTTGAACTCAAACCAATGTCACTAAGTTTTGCACACACCTGATCACTTTTAAGTATTTACATCCTGTTTATTTTTTTAAGTGATCAAAATGATCTAGTTAAATTAAATATTAATCAGAAATGTAATAAAGCCAATTAGTATTAGGCTATAAACATAATTATGCAATTATTATCGTGAACAGCAGTTGTCAAAGGTCTATCGGCATTTCTGAACTTCTCTTACATAAAAATAATATCAATACTAACATTTTGATTATTTTACACTGACTTTGAAAATGACCGTTATTATCTGTATATAAGTATATATATATCTTATCTTATCTTATCTGTAATCTTAGAGTGCTGATAACAATTTCAAAAAATTATCAATAATTTACAATAATATATTAACAACAAGATAGCATATATAAAATGACACCAATATTTACATGAAAAATTAAAAGACTATAGATTATATATTACAATACATTTTAAATCAATGACATAACCCGATTCCTACAAAACAGCAACCTCCTGGTGACTCTCCAATTATGGGATTTATCTTGTTATGATCAATTTAAAACAAATCCATTATGTACAACTGACAAATTGCCTTAGCTTTCGAAAATGCATTTTTGTTAGTTGTCCAAGAGAGACCAAATATGTAACTTCCACCTTTCGCTGCCATGGTCACCAGCCTGGCTGCCAGCAAATGCACTAATTAAGCCTTAATTAACGCAATTGTTTATATATGTATACCACAAATAAAAATAAAAACGAACCACAACATTTCTTGCTGTATAGAGAACCGTCGAAGCGCTTAGCGTTGTACAAAACGGGGAAGTTTAATAACATTTTGAATAATGAATACTCATAACAACAACAACGAAAACAGCAAAAGTAGCAAAAAGAAATGCAATAAATGCACAACAAAAATCCACATGAAAAGCGGAAATGCTGTGAATGAAGCCGCATTTTGTTTTCCTTAAACTGCGCTTTGCGTTTGTGCCTTGCAACAATTTTCTGCCTCTGCCTAAAAATAATTTTTTTTTACTTACACTTTCGTGCTTGCATGTGTATGTATGTATGTATGAGCGCACACTCGCCATCACATTGGTTTATGCCAATAAATATAATCTTATCATTGTAACGGCGCTTGCTTGCCAGCTGATTGACCAGATTCTCTGTTGCGCACGCGCTCTTTCTTTTACTCTCCCACTCTTTTTCTTTTCCAAAACCTGCTGCCCAAGTCGCGCTTTGAGGCGACTACGTTTATATGCGCTGCGCCGTCACAGCCGAAGCGTCAGTTTTGCTTAGAGCTTTGAGCCATCAGGAGGTGTTTCGTGATAAAGGCCAAATATAAAATTTGTTATACTTGTGTATATAACAAAAGTAATAGTCGAGTGCAATATGTTAAAGTTAAAAAATATGCTATTGATTCTGTTAGGCTGCAACATGTTGCTAGCCATCTACGCAACTGGTAATAATAAACAGCAACAACAGAACCAAGGTAGGCCATGGACATGCCCTTAATCAGGCCCCATGATCGCTGATTCATGCAAGGTGTGGAGAAATTTTCAATGGCAAGTTAGGGCGATTCTAGGCAGACCAAAACAAAAGAAACCGGTTTAAAGATATGCCTGTAGCCGGCGTAGAAGGCCAGAAAGAGTAAACAGAGATGTGTCTGAAGTTGCTTGATCTTATGTGGCTGGTGGTTCGCTGATTAAAGCTGAGCACTGACCGTTAAAATGGGGATTTTTCAAAAAATAAAAATATTTTGAAAACGATAAGTTTTAGTGATTTAGATAACATTAGTTTTAATAATATTAACTTAATATATTAGTTTGATGTTGTAACTTGAACAAAAAGAGAATATTTGTTTTAAGCTTCACTCCTTCTGCTGTATTAGATGTGCTCAGGAAAACATAATTTAATAATTCGTTTTATCCTTCTTGGTCAAATCCTAATGTAGTTGTAAGACTACTCTACTACTACAATTTAATGTATTTCACACATTGTTGCAGAAACCTGGGAGCAAGACCTTTCGGACACTTTTAAAATTGAGGGCAGCGATCAGGGTATACAAAAGGTTAATCTGAAGTGCGGTGCCAATTCGATGAATGTAATGTTGGAGACTGAGAAACCATTTACTGGTGTTATGTACACACGTGGCAGCTTCTACAAACAAACGGCCCCGTGTTTTATGAAGCCTACTTCGAACCAGGGTACACGCACATTGGAGATGAACTTTCAGTTAGACCAGTGCCAGACTCTAAAGGATGGTGAGCTTTATACGAACATTGTAGTCATACAAAACGACCCGGAACTCATAACGCCTGGCGACTCGGCTTTCTCGCTGGAATGTGATTTCCGTCAACCACGCAGTCTGGATGTTGAAGCGAGCATGCAGGCCAGGGACAGGTAAGCTATAGTGGAATAATGCTATCAATAAAAATACTACTTAATAATAGTAACAAAATTGAGTAAATATATATATATATACATGGATATATACGATCTAAACTTAGAAATCCACAAAAATTGCGCGGAGCACGCGGTGGAACCCGCCAGCGTCAATAGAACTTTACCCTATGACTACCCATTAAGTTCTTCAACTATATTCACTTTGAATAGCTGTACTTAAGGTACAAATTCAAACTTAAACTTTTTGACTTTGCACTAATCTAAAAAAATAACCTCTTTAGTATATGTACATACATATGTAGCCTGACTAACAAACACAGAACACAACATAACCACATTAGATACATGCATACATTCCACAGAGTTGCGACCAAATCCAAAATAACACTCACAAGTCCTGATCCCGCGGCCCCAATGGACAATCTACACAATTCGGTGTTTAGCAACAGTGATACAGTAGAATACATACCAAAGTTTTCCAAACCAAATGAAACCATACGCCTGGGTACGGTTGAGGAAGTGTCTCTACCGCTGGGTCATCGAAGAGATGAGCTTTAAACATAGTAAACACTACCACCACAAACAATACAAAAACATATCACAATTAAATAATTAAAACTACAGGTGAGCTACACCACCACACGCTTTTTGTTGTATTAATTGTTAATATTGTTATGACGCTGCGGCAATTTTACATTATTTCGGTAACTTGATTAATTTATCAATAAATTTTCACAGGAAAAACGTACAGAATTTAACACTGGCGGCCTAAACCCAACCGGACATTATTATTCATTTAAATGCTCTTTTTAATATCTTTATCCTGTGATATTTTTTAAGTTTGGGTTTAATAAAAAAAGAAAGAAAAAAGAACAATGTATGGTCTTTAATCTTGCGCGCTCGTGGCAGAGCTGTTTTTTTTAGAACACAAAACAGCTGTTATTTCTTTCGCAAAATCTGGCAACGCCATCGTCATTTTGATGGTCTGGCAGGCCTTGGCAAATGGAAATGTACAATTAAATTTTGCAGTTTTTATAACAAAATAAAATTGTTAAGGCGACAAGGAGCGCAATTATTCAGCTAGGTGCATTTCCAGACGATAAAAATCAAGTGTTGGCTGGTTTCAGGCATATGCACAGCCAATACATATACATACATACATATAATCGCAACTCAGTGTAATTGCATATCATCTGTGGAGGTTTCGTTATCGTTGCACATCTTGAGTTACACAAAGAACGTCAATAATCTTTAATTTAATTAAAAGCCAGCAATTGCCACACATTTAATGTTCTAAAATGGATTATCGCGTTTTTCTAACACTATTATTCGTATTGAGCGGCACAATAAACGTTTTATTAATCAAGTAAGTGAGCTGAAAGTAAAAACTGCGCATTTTGCAAGAAAAATTAATTTGTGTAAAATGAATTGCAGATGGACGAGCATTCAATTAGTAGAGGGCAGCGATGAAAAACTGCATCGTTTTCAGCATCCTCTGTTCTTAACGCTGCTCATGTTCTTGGGCGAACTTCTTTGCTTTGGAGTTTACAAGGTGGTTTATGCGCTAATGAGTCGACGCGGAGTAAGTAAAAAAACTGGTAGCATTTACAATTAAAAATGGTTTCACTTTATGTCTTAACCAGCTTAACACAGATCAAAACCTCGTTTTGACCAGCGGCAGCAATGAGTTTAATCCGTTCAGCATGTTGCTGCCTTCATTTCTGCGTACAATTGCATCCATTTTGCTGTTTACTGGCTTGTACTTGACCTATGCCACAAGCTTTCAAATGATAAGGGGTTCGTTTATCAACAATCACGATTGCTCCCTCTTAGCACTTTTTCTTGTCTTTTGCAGGAGTGGCACTGATCTTTGTGGGCTTGTTCAGCACCATGTACTTGAACCAAACGTTGACAACACGCCACTGGCTAGCCATCTTTACCATGACGTGCGGCATCGTGGACATATTGGCCTTGGATGTCCAGCGGGTGGAATACGATAATCAAACGGTACCGCATACGGATCACAATACTATTTTGACAGGCGACTTATTGGTAATAATTGCTGAAGTGCTGCAGGGCTTTCAGTATGTGTATGAGGAAAAGCATTTGAAGGCCTCCGATATGGTGCCCATCCAAGCTGCTGGCTGGCAGGGACTATTTGGAATTATTATCACGATCTTGTCCGCGATTTGCCTAAACTTTGTGCCTAGCGTTGTGCCCTTCAATGATAGCTCGCGTGGTGTCTTTGATGATCTAAGCGACCTTATTCCGCAGCTGCGTGGCAACACAATGTTAATCGTTGCACTTGTCGGCTTTTCATGCTCCTGTGCCATTTACAACTGTGTGGGACTGTCGATTGCAAAGTTCTCATCTAGCGCTAATCGTCTCCTCGCTGATGGAATACGAGTCTACCTCATTTGGGCGTTTGTCATCTTTGCCGAGTGGGAAATTATGAACCTAATTACAATAATGGGTCTTCTCATACTACAAATGGGTATCGTCATGTACCGGCAGGCCATCTTTCTTGAATGGTATCGCGCCTTATTGGGTCGCTGGCAGCGCAGTCGTTATATGGACTTAAGTGCTAATGCTGGGCCCACGCCAAGCACCCAACCTGCGGATGTTATATAAAATGTGGTGGTGACAAAGTTTTGAATTCATTGTGATAAGAGACGCGGTCTGATATATAACTATCCAGTTTTGGGATGCATCATTTAAATTTACTTATCAACTAAAATAAAAATACGAATAAATACTTATGCGTTAATTAAACTTACGTGTATTTTGTTCCTTTAATTTATGCAGAAATCATTTAGCATATACATATATTAATTCACACACATATATACGCTAATTATCTATCTTCCATGATGTGCTCCTTTGCTTTTTAGCTCCACGCAGCAGAAAATTAAATCTTATATTTCGAATAGATGGCTGGTATTCCAACATGAAATATATTAATTATTTGGTTATACCAAACAAACACCATCATACGAAATATTTGGAATACTGTCAAAAGGTATATCCAATAAAACACTACGCAACTAATTTAGACTTTTATTCTGCGTCAGAGCTGCATCGGTATTTTTTAGTTGTTGATGCAATTGCATTTGTAAGAATAATTCGTTAAGGCTTAAGTATTTAGCCGACCTATAAAATAAGTTTTTGTATCTTTGTACACTTTATACTTTTATTAAAATTTATTGTTATTTGATTTTTTAAGACCTTTCCTTTTTTAAAACTCTGGAAAGTGAGAAAACAATCGCGTATACAGAAGATAAACCCCTGATATATTATCGTCAAACATCGATTTTTCATACATAATTTTCGATTCATTTATATTTACATATTTCTTTTATGTAACGAGCTTAATAAAATAAAATGAAAAATTCTTTAAAAATAAATGGTATGTTGGTGGAAAAATCAGAATATATTTTCATTTGTATCTGATTTATATACATCTACATACATATATAAATGACAACATTTACAAAATTAAAACACTGCTATTACCGAAGCATTCAAAATTTACTAACCACTAAAAATTTGACATTTCATTGAAATAACTGATGAATGACATGAATTTCTCAGACAGACTTCTTCTGTTCAATACCCAGAATACGTTCGCCAATACCCATGAAGTAGACCATCTGAGCTATTCCAAAAAGGGGAGCAATTACAATCATTCGACACAGCCCGCCCTTGAAGAAAGCCTTAGGTCCTTCGTACTTCAATGTTTTGCTAGGTGTTGGGTAATGTATAAGTGCTTTCTAATCAAAAAAGTTCGTATGAAGCCTAAACCTACTTGATACAGTCAAAAATACCATCGAATTCCTTCTCGCCATCCGCCTTTTTAATGGCTTGCAAACGTGTCTTAATCACGTCTAGGGGCGTGACCACGAAAGCAGCGGTCATTCCCGACAGCAACCCAGAGATAAGGGACCACCAAAAGACGGCTTCGCCAGAGGTGCCCGCCTTTCGGGGTCCACTGTCATTCAAAAATGCAAAGAGTGGAAAGTAGATGACGGAGAAAGTAATGTCTCGCGCGCCAGTGGCTCGCACGCCCTTGTATAAGCCGAATATGCCATTATCTTTCACAAGCTGCTTGGTAATAGCCCAAGCGGTCACCTTTTTTAAATCCTGCCCACCCACACGTCCGGCATCCTGCAACTGAATCTTTAAAAGCTCCATAGGCGTAGTCACAATGATTTGAAATGCACCAGCTAAACCTCCGGCCAGACATTGCATGAGCAGTGTTAGTTTGCCATCCGAAGTAGCTAGATGATAACGAAAATAATCGTTAGCGGACAGTTTGATTCCCTTTTCAGGGGTGATCAATAATATGTTTACGGCTGAGCCGCGGTACATGCCAAAGTAACCCTCCGCCGCGTAAATCTTGCGGAAGCAATCGAACCTAGTGAAAATTATAGATGTGGAGCACAAGTTAGGGGCCAATATTCGATTGGCACTTCATGTTTACATCACTTACATGCTAGTGTACATGCGTTCACCATTGGGACCGATTTGTTGATTTTGCAGTCGCGTCTTCACCAAATCCAACGGAAAGACACATGTCACACCAATGACGCCCGCAATGCCGCCGTTAATGATTCTGGGCAGGACGCTGTTGGAAATTTGGTTACCCAACCGATGTAGTCTATCTGAATCTGACCAAAAACTTACGCAAAGCCCATATTCTTCTTTTCAGTTGTCATTAAATCACAAACAATTTTATCTTTTTATATCTTCAAAATTAACAAAATAATAGCAACAAAATACGCCTCTCACATTTAAATAAGAAAAAAATGTGTAACCCACACGTGTGCCAAGGCACTTAAAACAATATGGAGAGAAAGCTCAGACATACTATATGTCCATTCATACTATGCCTACTACTGTTCGCAGAATTTGTGAGTTTGAAGTCTATTGAATTCATAACTAAAAGTTGGAATCAATTTCTCCTTCTTAACTCTGATGGTTATATAATAATAGTGTAATAGTGTTATATAAAAGAGATATAGGCAAACAAGAATTTTATACAAAACTAATTTGCAGGTGCCACAGGACATATTTTACTATTATAAACTTTTTACCTTTTATAATTAGGAAAACAGCATCGATACATCATTACAACAACTTAGCCATACACATATGTATATGTACACACCTACATGTAAAAACTAACTCCCTTTAGCCATGAACATATATGTACTTTTTTTTACTCTAATACCTATTTAATATGTAAAGGCAAAGACAATATAAATAGGGGAAGAAGCTTAAGACAAATTTTAATATTTGCAAAAATAAAAAAGTATTCGAATTAATGTTTCGGTATCAGTTCAGATTCAGCTTGCTTTTATTTAACTAATTGAACTAAACATTCGATTCAAGGAAGGCATAAAATTTGAGATCCATTTGAGCCAATATTAATTAATATTTACGATAAAAGTGAGCACTATGATGGGGTTTAGGAAAATGTGAAATGTGAAAACATCGTGGAAAACGGGTGTATAAAATCAGATCGGCACCAAGCCTACCTTTAAAGTTTTTATTTTATAATTCATTTTAGAGGAATTTCACCCTTTTCGAAAAATCATCTATTGCTTTAGTGAAAGTTGGGATTCAAAATTTGATGGTTGAAGTTCTGAGTTGAAACTAATTTGCAAGGATCTTTATTAAAATGCATTTGAGACGTGAAAATCGACCACTACTGGGTGAAAATACGGTTCAATGATCATCGTCAAACTTTTCTCAAAGCCCTACATATGAACATAATGAATACGGTCTTCAGCGATTATGGAAATTCTCCCCGTAACTGTGGTTAATTGGCAGAAAACGATTGTGTACAACTTTTGTTTATGGTAAACAAAATCGTTCGGCTTCTAGGACATTTTTAAAGATTAATTTGTGGCGCGTTTTACATTTTCCGCATAAAAACCCCTCTCTGATGAAAAATGCGGGCCAAAGGTTATATTTTTCATCATATAAGCTTATTTTTCAGCTTCAAGTTACCCATGAGTTGATATCAACTTTTAGTTATTTTTTCGATGGATTTCTAAGTCACTTTTAAATTTAAATTTAATTTAAATTCAATCAATCAGCGGCAAATTGAGAATTGATATCTACAATTTGAAGAAAAAATGTGAACTGTTCAGGGCCGGGAAATACACAACTATATACACTAAAGAACTTAAGTTCAATTGTGGACCTCAATCTACCAAAAAACGAGAAAGAAGTGCTATCTTCGGCACACCGAAGATTTAATACCCTTGCAGACCCAACCTTTTCAAAATGCTTATAGTGCTTTGCCCGATTCTAAGAAGCACAGGGAAAATAGTTAATGCCGAGTATGGTTAAGATACCATGAAAAACAAAACAGGTTTCCGTACAACTTAATTTTCGACCGATCGTTCCTATGGCAGCTATATGATATAGTAGCCCGATGTGAATAAGATTTTGCATAAGTGGAGGGAGCATAGTAAAACTAATAAATGCCGAGTTTGGTCAAGATATCTTGAAAAACAAAAAAAAATTCCATACAACAGCATAATTTTCGACCGATCGTTCCTATGGCAGCTATATGATATAGTTGTCCGATCTTAATAGGATTTTGCATATATATAGGGAGCGTAGTAAAACTAATAAATACCGAGTTTGGTCAAGATATCTTGAAAACATACAAATTTTCCATACAAAAAACTTAATTTTCGACCGATCTTTCCTATGGCAGCTATATGATATAGTTGTCCGAACTTAATAGGATTTTGCATATATATGGGGAGCGTAGTTAAACTAATAAGTACCGAGTTTGGTCAAGATATCTTGAAAAACATAAAAATTTTCCATACAAAAACTTAATTTTCGACCGATTGTTCCTATGGCAGCTATATGATATAGTTGCCCGATCTGAATAGAATTTTGCATATATATGGGGAGCTTAGTAAAACTAATAAGTACCGAGTTTGGTCAAGATATCTTGAAAAACATAAAAATTTTCCATAAAAAAACTTAATTTTCGACCGATCGTTCCTATGGCAGCTATATGATATAGTTGTCCGATCTTAATAGGATTTTGCATATATATGGGGAACGTAGTAAAACTAATAAATACCAAGTTTAGTAAAGATAACTTTATAAACAAAAATGTTTTTCATACAAGAACCTACTTTTCGACCGATCGTTCCTATGGCAGCTATATGATATAGTGGTCCGATCCAGCTGGTTTTGACATATGAGCTGCGTGCAACAGAAAGAGGGACTTCTGCAAAGTTTCATAAAGATAGCTTTAAAACTGAGAGACTAGTTCGCATAGAAACAGACAGACGGACAGACGGACAGACGGACATGGCTATATCAACTCGGCTGTTGATACTGATCAAGAATATATATACTTTATGGGGTCGGAGATGTCTCCTTCTATGCGTTACACATTTCACGACAAAATTATAATACCCTCTGCAAGGGTATAAAAAAAGAGGTTTTAGTCTACATTTCTGGCAGTGTAATTAAACAGCAAAACTATGAGACATGTAGATTGTCAAGACAGGCGCAGGCGGGTTTGAGGAGCTTACCCGAATTTCGAATCTCTGGCTTTAATTCGAGAAATTAACGGTTAAGCAAATATTCACTTGGGAAAAAAAATCAATACAGCTAAAATTTGGAAAAATATTAAATCATAACTATAATCTTCATGTATTATATGCCGTCCCTCTATGCAAACAAGTATTATATAAATAATTATAACTAAATTATTTATTACATTATACATTGTTGTAGTCGAAAATATGATTAAAATTTTAAATTATAATAAAATTAAGTTACACATACTTCTTTTGTTCAATACCCAGAATACTTGATACAGTCGAAAATACTATCGAATTCCTTCTCGCCATCCGCCTTTTTAATGGCTTGCAAACGTGTCTTAATCACATGCAGACTGCAACCCAGAGATAAGGGTCCACCAAAAGACGGCTTCGCCGAAAAAGCGGTCAGTTTGATTCCCTTCTCAGGGGTGATCAATAATATGTTTACGGCTAAGCCGCGGAACATGCCAAAGTAACCCTCCGCCGCGTAAATCTTGCGGATGCAATCGAACCTAGAACATTATAGATGTGGAGCACATGAACATGCGTTCACCATTGGGACCGATTTGTTGATGCCCGCAATACCGCCGTTAATGACTCTGGGCAGGACTCTGTTGAAAAATTTATTTACCCATTCGATGTAGTCTATCTGAATCTGACCAAAAACTTACGCACAGCTTCCGGATTTCTTTTCAGTTGCCATTCGATTAAAATGCTTTTATATTGAAATTTGAAAACGTATAACAATTGATGTAATAAAATGTGGGTACATTTCACTAATGTAATCATATATTGTCAGTTTTTGTAGAACTGATGTCAACGCATGTCAATATTTAATATTGCTTTAATTTTTGTAACAGTTACATTATTCGCTGCCTAAAAGCAAAAAAAGACAAGGCAAATTTACTAAAAAATCATAACGGCAAAAGAACGGGCAAATTGTAATAAACTAATTGTAATTTTTATCTATAGAGACGTTATTTGCAATTTTAAAGATATGTTTGGCTAAAAAAAACACTTACATAATATAGCATTGATTTGAATTATCTTATTGTCATTGGGGAAGAAGTTCTTTTGCCTGTAATAGTTTTCATTATCGCCTTTATAGATACATATATATATATATAGATATAGATATATATAGATATGTGTATACACCTACAAGGGATAAATAATTGCATATTCTAATAGCGCGCTTTCACTGTTTACATCGAAATTAGACAGCTTTAACAATAACAACAATAGCGTTAGCGCGTAACATGTACATCTAACATTTAGAGAGAAAATGCTTCTGGATAACTTTCGTATGCCATTTACTTCTTTTGTACGCCCAGCAAGCCTTCGGCTACGCCCAAATAATAAACGGTTTGTGCAATACCAAACAATGGAGCAATCACTATCATACGGCAGAGACCTCCCTTGAAAAAAGCCGTGGGTCCTTCGTGCTTCAGAGTTTTGCTGGTGGTTAAAAAAAAAATAACAGACACAATAAAAAATAGCCGTATAAATGTACATATATAGCAGCTTACCTAATGCAATCAGATATTCCCTTAAACTCTTTTTCGCCATCGGCCTTTTTAAGAGCCTGCAACCGCGTTTTGACTACGTCAAATGGATTGACCGCCAGGGCTGCCGTTGAACCAGCCGCCAAGCCGGCCAAGAAGGAACACCTTATGCATACAAATAAAGCAATTAAGTCAGGCAAAAAAATCGGATGACCATGCCTACCAAAATACCGCTTCGCCAGAGCCATCGTTCCGCCGAGGACCCAAATCATTAAGTGTGGCAAAAAGTGGAAAGTAAATGACTGAAAATGTGACATCACGAAGGCCCGTAGCACCAATGCCCTTATACAGGCCAACGATGCCCTTCTCTTTGATTAGTTGCGTGGCCAATTGTGTGGCTGAAACTTTTTCAACGGTTTTGCCAGCCAATTTAGCGGCAGCGGCAACACGTCCGGCATCCTGCATTTGAATTTTTAGCAGCTCCATGGGCGTGGTCACTATAATTTGGAAAGCACCAGCCAAACCGCCAGCCAACATTTGGCAGCTCAATGGCAGTTTGCCATCCTTGGTGGTAAGTTTATGTCGGAAGTAATCATTCGCCGTCAGTTTGATCGCCTTCTCAGGTGTGATTAACAAAATATTCACGGCTGAGCCGCGGTACATTCCAAAATATCCCTCTGCAGAATACGTTTTGCGAAAGCAGTCGAACCTGGAATAGAATGTAAACAATAATTAGCATGGATCCCACAGGAATAATCGACATAGATTTCCACGTACATGCTAGTGTACATACGTTCGCCATTTGGACCGATTTGCTGGTTCTGCAGCCGAGTCTTTACCAAGTCCAATGGAAATACACATGTGACGCCAATAATGCCAGCAATGCCGCCGTTAATGATCTTCGGGAGCAATCTGTAAAATATATATGTATGGTATTTAAATAGTGCGCGTCGTTTCTTATTGGCTAATTGACAAATATTTGCACTGCGTTAACCCTTGCATTCATCATGTGTGTGCAACAACACCAACAGATCCCAGACAATCAACCTTGACATTGACCTAGCAGCGCTGCTGCAAGTGGCACTTATCGCGCGGCGATCTATATCGATAAATCGGTAATTGACAATCGGTTATTAGTGGTTAGAGCACATTTTAAAATGATGCGAATGAACAGAAAACAAAAAAGATTTACCGTAGCATTTAGCCTCGTTTGTTTATTAGGCGAATATTAAAAATAATTGGGAGTCTGCCAGCATACCTTAAAAATCTCTCAGCTTTTCGATGTTTGGCGCTATTTATAGTTGGCACCTCAAAATACAAATAATACAAGAGAAAAGCTGCGAGTGAATAAATAAGGATTGCAATATGCAATATTATATCATTGGACTTAAACGCGAAGGAGTTTTTGGGCCCCATAGAGGGGGCATTGTCTTTTTATCAATAATAATATCAAATAATTCAATAATATGAAGAAATACCTAAATACATTTGTATTTAAATACGTTAATGTACCCATGTCTATGTAATTATGTACAAACGAATTTTTATTTGTTCTTTGCTACTGTTTTAAATTGGTAATGTTTTTGTTTTTTTTATAATTTTTAAACAACTTACGCAAACTTCTGCTGCGGATTTTGCAGTGGCTGATTTTTTATTAGTTCATCTGGTTGCTGTTGTATTGCTGTCATTTTGCTAAAAGTAAAGAAAATAAAAGAATTCAATTAGGATACTACAAGCCAACAACAATGGTCTTCATAAATGATCTAGAGTTACTTTTGAAATTACTCTATCGATTGGTTAGCAAAAAGTTAAGGAAACTTCAGTTTTCTGTAGCTGCTAGATTAGCTGTCGAAATTTCCCAGTCAGCTCCACAATGAGAATCTAACGAGGATACAAATAACAAATAATTATTAAATTAACTTACTGCTTCAAAAAAAATTAATTGGTTGAATGACCTTTAATCGGTTTACCGGAACTTTAAAATGTTTAATATCCAGTACACGTGTGCATAAATTTATTTTCATATACCAAATAAATACAACATATGTTACTGAAATTTCATATAGGATTTACATATTAAAGATGAGTGTATATTTAAAGTTTTGTCTGTATTTAATAATTGATACGCGGTCTTAAGCTTATCTTTCCATACATATTGAAAAAGCGATATTAGTGGGTCTGTTATACAGAGTGGCGGGCAGGGTTTATTAATAAGCAACAAAAGCGGGTTCTGGTTCTTCAGAGATTAGCAACCATATCAAATGGGAGCGCTTACGGAGAATGCTCAATATGTCAATTTATATATGTATACTTGTTTACGCAAGTGTGTATTAGTGATTTTTAGCATTAAGGCGTTAGCGTGATAATTAAATTAAGAAAATCACTTATATAGCTGAATGGTACAACTTCTAAATGATCAGTTAACCGAAATTTAATAACGGTTTTACCGTAGTGGGCGGCAGATAAGCGAAGTGGGCCTTTTTATTATCTTTACGACAAAATTATTGTAGATATAAAGATATGCGGTCCGAACAACACCGCATTGTAGAAGGCCAAAATGCTGCTTGGCCCAATGTCTCGAAGAAAAATCGTTATCTCTATATATAAAACTGTTTGTCCTGACTGACTGACTGATTGGTGATCAACGCACAGCCCAAACCGTAAGAGCTAGGAAGCTGAAATTTTCACTGTAGCTACCTTATGTGATGTAGGTGCACGTTAAGACGGGGTTTCGGGAAATTCCTATAACTTTTTTGTTTACCATCCGATCGGCTTCAAACTTATTTTCAAAGATCTTTGTTCAAATTCATTTGAGGGGTGTTTCACACTTTTCGAAAAATCCGTTCCTCCTGGTGGAAATGGAGGTAAAAAATTTGGTGGGTGACGTTTCGCGCTCAAATTCGTTTCCAAAGATCTATAAGAAAAATCATTTTAGACGTGTTTCACACTTTTCGCAGAATCCAAACTTTTTCGGGTGGAATGCGACTCAAAGATTTTTTGTGCGAAGTTTTAAATTGTTTCCGATTTGCTTCAAATTTATTTTTAAAGCTCTACATAAGAATGTAATGAATACGTGTTTCAGCGATTTGGGAAATTCCACTCGCAACAGTGGTAAATTGGTGGAAAACGTTTGTATGAAAGTTATTTGTTTACCGTCCGATCAGTTTCAAAATCATTTCAAATTTGTTTGAGAACATTGATTTTATAACATACGAGCCACGGGCAAGGCCGGGTTATACCCGCTAGTAACATTATAAAGCGATTTAGATTAAAGAGCAACACATACATATGCACATACAATTTGTATATGAATATGAATACATACATTTGTATGGAAGTACAATATGTCGTTTAATTGTTGTTATCAAGCCATTTCACATTATCGATTACTGTTACTGCCTGAAAACTGCTCGTCGAACAACTTCACGCTTGTGGAGATTTTTGTTTTTCGCCTTGTGGTGTGTTTTGTTAAATTAGAGCAGGTAGTGCAAGTAAAAGAACGTCAATGAATCTATACGAATTTTACGTTTTTGTCTTTTCTTACTTTTTGTCTATTTTTACGTAATTTTGATGTACATCTGTATATCGCTGGCCAGCAGACGACACCACGTTATAAATTAAATTGATTGATGCACACTTTACATACATATATACATAACTGCGCGTGTACTTATTTGTGTGGATATATGTATGTATATGTTGGTGCGAAATATCAATACGTATGCATAAATATATGTAAATTGTTTAAAGCAAATTGGCGTGTGTGCCGTCGACGCAGTTGAAATTAAAGACAACAGCAGCCAAACTCACATATTTATTTGCTTTGTTAATTGACTTTTTCACTTTACAACTAATAGTTTGGTTTAATAAACAACTTTTATATGATGTATGAAAATATGCAATAAAACGAAATATACATATGTGTATTTGTATTCCTACGATTTTCGGCGCTATGTCGTCAGCGTGCGGCACTCAACTTAAACAAAAGCTTAAGGTGTTAATGCGGTTAATGCAACGGGAACTCTCCCAACGGACTGCCGGCGTGTACTGTTCATTTAAGTTTTTATTGTAGCTAACAAACTGCTGGGTAGAAAGCTCAGAGAATTTGATATATCGATTGTGCCAGAGTCTGGCAACGCTTGTTCGGACAGAGTCTGTCCGACAGACTCGAAAACCGTTTTACAGCACTTAAAATTATTTCGATTAGTTCTTCGTTTCGTCGACTTGGACACAATAATATTATTGATAAGTTCACAGAAGCTAAAGATATTACTTTTGGACAATGAGTTCGGCACGTTTTGCTCGTTCGGGCCGCGTTCGAATATGCATTCTGATGAGCATGTTTGTTGTGCTCATCATGATGATTGTCATTTATCACATGTCGCAACAGCAACTTGACGAGACTCGAGTTTTTCGCCAACATTGCGAACAAAAACAGGAGGAATTAAACATAAGGCTGCAGTGTAAGTTGCCATCCCACCGATGTGGCGCGTAGTTTTCTACATTTTTTGATTTTATGCAGCGCTCACTGACAACAAATTGGCGGTAGAGAAGAAAGTGGAGGTGATGCGTGCGGAAAAGCAAAGTATACAGGAGGAGTATGAAAAGCAACAGGACGCAGAACGTACACTGCAACAGAGTTACGATGTGCAAATTAGCAAATACAAACTACTCGAGGAAAAACACAATGAAGTACAGGCTGAATGCGTCAAGAGCAAGAAGAAGCACATCGAAGATACAAATGCGTTGCTTGCGCAGTTACAGCAGCTGCAACAGGACAGCAAACAGCACGAAGCAACAGTCTGGAAGGTGCGTCAGTAACCTAAAGTTATATTTTCAATGCGCACTTTCGGTCATCAAAAAGTTTATCTTCGCATTGCTTGCTTTTTTACTTAAAGGATAAGTACGAGACGATGCTTAAGGAATCCGAACACAAAACACACACCCTAGAGGAAGCACTTAGCGAACTAAAGGCTCACTGCGAATTTAAGGCGCAGGCGCAACCGAAACACCAACTTGTTAAGCCAGTCGGGTCGCTGACCCCCGACACGCCGCCCACACATCACTACAGTCCCGCCCAGCCAGCGCACAGTATTGAGAAGCCCCGCAACGAAAAGTCTTTCAACGAGCAAGTACAAGTGAGTCAGGGACTGTACAGAATAGGCGTCGCTAAGGCGAGCCAAGCAACTAACGCAACAAGTAGACCTCATGGTGTCGGTGTGGAGCGGCGGCTGGAACTGAAACAGCAACATTTGCAGCGCTTTGATCAGCGCAATAATAATAGCCTCATACTAAATTCTGTTGAAAATTTTCAGATTGTGCCCAAGGGGCTAAAAACTTTAGCGGATGAAACCAATAAACAACAGCAGCAAGATCAGCCCGTATTAGCCGCGGCCGGAGCCGTTTCGCCGCTAAGCGCGCCCCGGAAGTCCAACTCTAGTACTCCAAATGCCGAAGCATCACAAAATGCCTCTCTGGCACCAAAAGCCGTAGGCAGCAGCAGCAGTAGTGGTCAGCCGCCTTTGGTTATGCCGCCAGCGAAGCCATCAGCTGAAGCCAAAATAGAACGCAAGCTACCTGAGAATGTGGCACCTATTCCTGATAATTTCGATGGCAGAGGTGAGCCAGCGGCGGATGTAGATACGGCAGCCGAAGAGCTGCCCAAAAACGAAAACAACAATCGATATTCCAATGTGCTGGACGATCTGGAGTCTAATAAAAACCAAGGAGTAATTGACTCTGGAGCGCATGAAGTTAAGGATGCTTTAAACGAACAAAACTTCAATTTGCCAGGCGCTGAACACAATTTATTTGATAACGATATTGGAGCGGGTCATGCTGCTGAAGCGGATAACAAAGTGTTGGCCGCCGATGCAGCCGCTGTTGGCGGGGGTGGCGGTGACGATGATGATGACGTTATGTTAGGGGATGTGGCGGTGAAGCAGCCACAGCATTTGCTCGATAATGACAATTTAAATAATGAAATCGCTGGAGATCAAGGCAAGGAGTTTGCCGATGCTGTGCATCTGGACGATGGCATAGATGAGGATCAAGATGGTAATTTTGATTAATCTTATTTCTCGACACCTCTCTTAAGATACATTTTTTAGAGGATGACTACAACGTGCCAGCACGCAAGGCGGCCGCTGATTCGCCTGTTAGAAATTAGAGGATTCCCTGTAGATTTAATAGTCTATGGCATTCATTAGTATTTTAAAACGGCATCTCTACTGGAAAATCTGATTAGCTCTTCTAGGTAAAAACAAATACCAGCCACTTTAGTTGATAAGGTCCCATTCTCATTAATAAAATTTCATTGAAAATTAGGAGGCAGAAATTCCACGCAATATGATTATATTTGCAAACTGTTGCAAAGTGCAATATTTAATTAGATTTGTTTAAAACCGGTTAGTGCACAACATTTAAGTTTTTTGATAATTTCTATATTATGATTTAAACATTTAAAAATATATGTAATTAATAATTCGACTTTTTTAGTACTTGAAAAATTTCAAAATTGATTTACTTATACATTTATTTATATTTATTTGTTCAATGTATGTATGCAAGTAAATATTTGAAGTTTTGGATACACTGTGAGATAAAATAATGATAGCTAAAAAACAATCTAAGAATTCAAAGCATCTTACTAAGCGGTATATATGTTAATTGTGACTATGTTTAATTAATTA